GTGCCATGCAGAGAACAGAGTTTGGGAAGGATTGAAGGATATTAGCACCCTCCTCACTGTTAACTTCACGTGCTTAGTCACCGAGGCGTGGCCACACCCAGCACAATACCTGGCACGGGGTCAGGGGTCACTAAAGGCTGGCAGATGCCCTTCCAGCCTCTGCCTTAACCTGTGTTTCCCTGCTTCTTACATTTTTTTAAAATATTTATTTAATTTTGAGAGAGAGAGAACATAGCAGGGGAGGGTCAGAGAGAGAGGGAGACACAGAATCTGAAGACAGGCTCCAGGCTCTGAGCTATCAGCACAGAGCCCGATGCGGGGCTTGAACCCACAAGCTGTGAGATCATGACCTGAGCCGAAGTCGGGCGCTTAACCGACTGAGCCACCCAGGCGCCCCCAGACTCATCCCCACTTCTTCATTCACAAAGCCTTTCTCTGGCCAAACTGACTGTCTCTCCTGCACCCGCACGTGCCCCCCCCCCACCTCCCCACCATCGCTGTCCCCTCCACTGTCACCTGTCTTGTCATTGCTTCCTGGTCTGTCACCCCTCTCCCATCTCTCCACCTCACCCACCCCCTGGAGCACCAAGCTCTGCGCCCCGCTTCCGTGAGGCGATACAGCCCTCCCGGCCCTCCGAAGCTGAAGTCCCTGAGAGTGTGAGCAGGGACCATGCTCCAGGCCAGGCAGGGGACAGCTGTGCGGGGAAGGGTCTGGGACACAGCAGGGCTTTGCCGCCCACTTGCTCTTTTGCATTTAGATGCACTGTGCTGTCCTTACTGAGGCTGCTTCTAAATGTTATTTGAGAGAGAGAAAGAGAGAGAGAGGGTGCGCGCGTGAACAAGCAGGGAAGGGGGGCAGAGAGAGAGAGAGAGAGAGAGAGAGAGAGAATCTCAAGGAGGCTCCGCACTTCGTGCGAGCCTGACATGGGGCTCCATCCCACCAACATGAGCTCAGACCGAGCCGAAATCAAGAGTGGGACGCTCAACAGACTGAGCCCCCCAGGCCCCCGAGGCTACTTCTAACGGGCGCGGGCCACGACTCAGCCTCCGAACACAGGCCTGGCGTGAGGCAGAGGAATGGCAGGAACACAGCAGAGCCTGGCAGCTGGACGGCTAGCGCGACCTTGATGATGAAGCCCTGGTCCCAGAAAGGGCGGTACAGGAGAGGGCACTAGACCCGAGTCACTTGGGTTCTGCAGACACCACTCTTTGTGCCTTACCTTTCAGAGCCTCCGTTACCCACTCAGCAAAGCAGGGGGCGGGCAGGTGACCCCGGCAGGCTCCTCCTCCCTCCGTGCCTGACCTTGCAATGCTCCATGACCGTGCCCCTGAAGTTTTCAATCCAGGACAGAGGATGCCAATGACCCCGAAATGGCTCAGCTCATCACGTCAAGCTCCAGACCTCCCTGTGGCCCCGGAATCCATGCTGCTTCGTGTCTGCCTTATCTATCACGTTCAGGCTCCTCCTTCTTCCTCCCAGCCACCCCTTCTCTGGCTCTGTGTACCCCAGTGTCCGCTCACCCAGACAGAATCACAGACCCTGCTGCCTGTGATGTCTCTCACCTCTCTGCCTCTCCGTGCCCCCAAACTCATGCCACTCCATCCTGCATCAAGCTCTGCGAGTCCTCACCCTTCCCTCTGTCGGTGCACAAGTCAAATCTCCTGATGCTTCCGTGCCCTCCAGAAGATGACGCCCAAACACCTGGTCTGCATGCACCGGCCAGGCCTCCCTCCCCCAGGTAGGAAACAAGGTCACAGCATCCGCATGGCTCCCGCACACTTGCTGGCCCACACCCCACTGCAGGAAGCCCCCACCACTTCCCATTCCAGATTCCCACATCTCTGAACTTCATTCCAGAAGTCTCTTTAGAAACCTGTGAGACAGGGAGACACAGGCAGACCATGTGCTAACCTCATCATTTTGCCTTATTGAGCCTCAGCCTCCTCACCTATAAAATGGGACATTAGGGCCGCCTGGGGGCTCAGTTGGTTAAAGGTCCGACTTCAGCTCAGGTCATGATCTCATGATTTGTGGGTTCGAGCCCCACATCGGGGCTCTGTGCCGATAGCTCAGAGCCTGGAGCCTTCTTTGGATTCTGTGTCACCCCCTCTCTCTGCCCCTCCCCAACTCACACTCTGTCTCTCTCTCTCTCAAATAAATAAAACATTAATTTTAAAAAATGGGACCCTGATGCCTTCCAAGCTCCTAAAAGAGATGGAATTCAGATGTTTCACAAACGGGAAACACCTCAGGAAGGTCAGGCCGATGCTAAGCCAAGGCTGGCTCCCTCTCCTGCCTCTGGGAGCCCCTCCCCGGTCCAGTCAGTACATGAGGCACCTCTTCTTCAGACAGATTGCCGCTCCCCAAATAGCCCTGCCATAAATCATGTCAGCCCCACTCAGCTCTCTTGGAGCCTCTGGCCAGGTGTGCATGATTTTGGGATCAAATTTAAATTAAATCCAGAAGTTGTAACGCTTCATAAAAATCACACTGCAAATTCCCTGGTATGGAATGGCAACCCAAAACAATAATAATAAATAAATGCTATGTTTTCCCCCCATGGGCGCTGAATTATCCCAAACTTGGCCCCACACGGCCTGGGGACCTTCCAAAGATAAGAAATCTGCATGGAAAACCTCGCACATCTCCTCGGGGCTCGAGTCCCCATGCATTTTCTACAAGGAGAGAGAAGAAGCAGGTCCTAAAGCACACGGGCCAAGATGGTGATGGAAAGCAACCCCTGAGAGGTGCTGGGGGAGAGAAGGGGGATGTGCCCACCGCTTTCCATATGGCCGCCTTCCCTGCAGTGACCAGCCCGTTCCGCTTCCGCCCCCAACCTTTCCAACCGCCCGGCAACTGCTTGGGGCGTGTCTGCTACCCATGTGCAGTTCATCTCAAGGATTTGAGAGTTCAGCGCAATTAACTTCATGCTGAGAGAGACACCTGTGAGAAGCACCAGAAAGGGGTGTGTGTGTGTGTGTGTGTGTGTGTGTGTGTCCTAAAGGGCTGTGCTTCAAGGGGGCTCCCACCAACACGAGTGTTTACAAGGCTGCCGTGCGCCATAGGGATACCTGTCCCGGCTGCCAGAAGGCTTTGCTGATGCAATTAACATTTGGGCTGAAACTGCAGACAGTGGTTCAACTCACCACTATTTTTAGAGGCCTCCTAATGGAAAACTGCTTTCCTTTCAAACCACACAGCTTTCTGTTATTAGAAGAGACTGTTCTTCAAGTCAGATCTTCCTCTTTGCCCAAATGTCTGTGCTTTATACGATGTTATCACGAAAACGCATTTACTTGGAACAAACTACTCGCAGAGCAGGCAGCATCGCTGGGTGAGCATGAGCAGGGTCCCCGGAGTGTCCTCACCACCCCCGTGGGGCAGAGGGAGACAGGGCCACACCCCCAGGGCTGTTCCGCCAGCCACAGCCCACCCTGCCCCCGCCCAGGATCACGGCAGGTGACACAGAGCAGTCCCAGTGCACTTTACTCTCAGGAGCCACCTGAGAGCCCCTGAGAGCACGGACCCATCTGGACAATAATTTTTAATGTTTCTTCCACTATGGCCATCACAGGATCACAGACGCCCTCCCCCAGGTTCACCGTGCATTCAGCAGTGGTCAGTGAGTGTCTGGTGCCAAGAGAAGGCCTGGGAAGGCGTGGGTGGATGCGCGGAGGCATCGTCACTGCCCCATGGAGCTTCTGTTCGGAGAGAAGGAGGTGTTAGGTGCATCAACAAAACATACAGCTTTGGATAAATACTTGCAAAAGAAAAGGGAAGGAAGAGAGGAAATGAGGGAGGGCAGTGGGTGGGGGGCAAGGAATGGAGGAGAGAAGCAGAGAGGCTGGAGAGAGGGAGGCAGGGGAGAGGGAGGAAGGGAGGCAGGGGGAGAGAGACAGAGGCACGGAGCTGTGGCAGAGACAAAGTGGGGTCCTCATGGAGGTAAGGGTGGGCAGGGAAGCCCTCTCTGAGGAAGTCTCAAGGGCCCCCTGGCCCATCTAAGGTGCTAGGGACAGCCGCACAGGGGCCAGGCAACCAGGTGGAGTCTTCCAGAACATCTGGAGTTAGCAGCCTCTGTCCACATGCTCAGAGTTGAGAGTCTAACAGCTGTGAAATGACTGACTGCAACGAGATTCCCGGGAACTTCCTGCCTGGATGGAAATGTTCCATATCCTGATTTGAGTGCTGCTTATACATTTGTTTAAACTTGGCCGACCGTACACTTAATTACCTATCCCACTACACGTACATTTTACCGCCCTTACATTATGCCTTAACTTTTTTCCAATTAAAGACTTTGCTTGTTTTTTTTTTCCCACTTATTTATTACATTTGGACCTTTAAGAAATATATACCATCAGATATACCACTATTCAGTAAAAATCTAGTCTAGTTTTTGGGAAGCATACGTGTCACAAACTATCTTTCTTCTAGTCTCCAAGACTTTAGTAAGAATTTATCAAAAAGGTAGACTCTGATCGATGGGATCCTGAGCCTTGAGGTTTTGAACGTTTTGATTATTGTAGAACAATTTCAACTGGATGAACTTAATTCCCAGCTGTTTTCCTTCTGGAATGGGCAACTCGTTTTGAAGTTGTCTAGTCCACCACGAGACCATTCAATTCCTTAAGCTTTGTGATCTAACCTGTCTTTGGAAAACTTGGTAAAAAAGTATTTTTTTTTTCTGTACAAGAAGGATGAATTTATCAGAACACACCCAATACTAATCATAACAAAAAGCAGTATACATAATGTGTATGTGGCCATGTTCACTCCAGTGACGAGTTCAGAAGCTGGTAACTACTCTACCTATGGAAACTATTTCTGGATCAATACGACCCAAGCTTAGTTGCAGTCAACTCCTTAACACGACTTTTGGTATGTAACATTGATTAAAAATCAGAAAGGGTAAGTGGACAAATACATACTCATACATGATTACGTTTCCAAGAAACTAGTCTTTGTGGAAGCCTACAGGAAAGAGGACTTTCAGGAGACTGTTGATGGGGACCAGGAGGTTTAAAGCTATGGCTTTGGGAAGCATCCCAGTGAGCTATAGGAAGGCATTCGTAAGAGTCAGATTGTGCAGCATCGAAGGATAACGCTCTAAAAGAGGTGGGCATTTTCTCAATTAATTTAAATTCTGAGGCTTTCAGTAGTCGAGGGCTAGAAATAAGACCCAAAGAAAAGAACCATCTTCACAACGGCTTCAGAAAGGTGACTGTGCCATTTGGCTCATGATGTTATTAAATGGTCCAAAAGCCTTTGGTGGTGTGATATGGACAAGAAAAATATTAATACACAAACCACATAACACCATTAAAACTCAAAAAACATTTTTTTTTCATTTAAAAAAGTATTTAGAACACATAAAACAAGGCAACATTTATTCTTTCTTCTCGTCTTCCGGTGTGGGGCCTGTTGGCACTTCCTCCATGGTTGCACTGTTGCTCTCTGAGCCAGTGTTACTATCACTGGTCCCTTCCTCAGCCATACTGTGGCCATACTCTTGCCCGCTCTCCTTATCCTCAGGAGTAGATGTGCCTTCCTCACCATTCTGTTGGCTCTCCGTCGCTTCCTCGAGGTGTGTCTCCTCTGTCTCCATCGGGACGCTCTTGTCGTCCTTCTTGTCCTCAGCCTTATTGGCAGCTTGCTCTTCCTCAGGAACCATGCTGCTCTGACTGTTTTCGTCTTGCTCCGCTGCCTCTTTCTCTCTTTCCTCCTGCCTTTTGCGAGCCTGTTCCTCTGCCTGTGCAATTTCGGCGGCAATTTTTTCCATATCCACTTCCACTTTCAGACCGCACAACCTTTTAAGTTCATTGTTAAATGAATCTGTGCTTTCCAGGAATTTCCTCTTCTTTTCCTGGTGTCTTTCCTCTATTTGAAGAAGTTCAGCTTCTAGTTTTCGCTGGTGAACCATTAAGGACTGGACCTGTCGTTTGAGGACCTGCATTCTAGCTGTTGTTACAACTGACCTAACGTCTGGCACCACACTCTCACTAAGGATTTCACTGATGAGGCGGTGGTTTCTCTGGAAACGGGCGGTTGCTGTTTGCTTCATTGAAAAGCCATCATCATAATCATCTGGATCTTCAGCAGGCTGAATGCTCATGTAAGGTTCTCCTTTCTCCATGCGAGACTGTCTCTGTCGACTTTCTTCCTCTAAAGCAGCTTCTGCACGACTTTTTGCATTTATGTAAGCAAGGTATGCAGGGGAATTATGATAGGCCTTCATAGATTCATTGTACTCTATCTTTTCTGCTTCGTATTCGTTTAAATATTCTTGTTTTTCTTCATCAGTGAGATCTCGCCACATGCCACCAATAATCTTGCCAATCTCCCACAACTTTAGGTCGGGGTTGGAAGCTTTTACTTGGTCCCAGACCTTTCTGCTGTACCTCATGTAGGGCATCAGAGGCTTATCTGGTGGCTTTGGGGGTTTTGGAATCGTAATACCAGAGGATGCCGTGACCCGGCTGTTGGTGCCCGGGTTCCCTCCCAGCCTGTAGTTGTTGTAGGCGAGATGACTGTATGGATTGTATCCCACAAACCCTGGTGTGCTGGGCATTTGTGTTGCAGGAGCTGGGGTGGGAGGTGGGGCATAAGATGGTCTTTTTGACATTTTGGAAGGTTAAGTTCTCAGTTCCTTAAGAATGAATCTGAGACACCGCGGGCAGAAAAAGCGCCCGTAGCTCCGGCCTCGTTTTCCTTTGTCCCGCAAGACTTTGCTTGTTTTAGAGCAGCTTTAGGCTCACAGCAAAATTTAGAGGAAGATACAGAGGTTCTCATATGCCCCCTCCTCTTCCCCAGGCACACAGCCTTCCCCCCAGCAAAGCAGCACCATTGTTAACAATTGATGCATCTTCATCAACATGTCATTGTCACTCACAGTCCATAGTTTACGATCAGGTTCACCTCGGTGCTGTGCGTTCTAAGGAGTTTGGACAAACGTGTAAATGACTCGTATCCCTGGTTATAGTCTTCAGCGTATACAACCTTAATTTCATCTTAAAAAGGGGATTTAAAACAGTGAATACAAAAAAAGCAACCGAGTTCATTTGTAACTTTCACTAGGTGGGACTGAACATTTTACGACAGCTTGTCGTACCGACTACATTTTGAGAAGCACTTCTGGACACCTACATTTTGAGAAGCTCAGTCGGTTAAGTGTCCGGCTCTTGATTTCGGCTCAGGTCATGATCTCAGAGTTCTGAGTCTGAGCCCCGAGTCGGGCTCTGTGTTGACCGCACGGAGCCTGCTGGGGACTCTGTGTCTCCCTCTCTCTCTGCCCTTCTCGTGCCCCCACTCACGCTCTGTATTTCTTTGATGTTGTGCGTCCAGGAAAGACTTCCAGGGAGCATCTCGCTGCCCCACGTCTCACCTGTGACAGGTGTTTGGGGCCTGTGGGTCTGACTTGCCCCAGACGAGTCCCCTCCGCCTCCCAAGTTCTGCTCCTGTAAATTTAGACTGCGGCCCACGCCAGGCTTACCTCTTTGTTAAAAACATCTTTTGCCAAAATTCCGAATCTGTGTTGAATAAAGTAATTAACTGCTTCCGTGCCCTGGAAGCAGCTGTATGATTTATGTCCTGCTCGGTTACATGTAACAGATCAAAGCCTGTGTCTCGGCCATTTGTTACCTTTTCCCCCAGCGGGTCATTTCGTTCTAAACGCCTTTGTCCAGGGTGTTTGTATCGGCTGCTGTTTAATTGCTGGGCTAGGGGCGCCTGGGTGGCTCAGCCAGCTAAGCGTCCGACTTGGCTCAGGTCATGATCTCACGATTCGTGGGTTCAAGCCCTGCATCGGGCTCTGTGCTGACAGCCCAGAGTCTGGAGCCTGTTTCAGATTCTGTGTCTCCCTCTCTCTCTGCTCCTCCCCTGCTCATGCTGTGTCTCTCTGTCTCTCTCTCAGAAATAAACAAAACATTAAAAAAAATTTTTTTTTGATTGCTAGGCTATTCAACGACCCAGGAATATTTCCCTTTCCATTGCACGTCGCTATATCTCTGTCAACACCCTCCCCACATGCAGAAGTTGGTAGTCAGTGTTCAGAGTCTAGAGCATGACTCGAATGGAAAGCCAGTGAAAGCTCCCTGAGGAATAGCTTTCAACAAGTCGTTCGGATTTCATTGAAAATAAGCCAGGAAGGCGAGGGATGAGTGGATAACTCTACATGTTTCCCTCCTGTCATGTACTTTGATGATGGAGGGGAGGATTTGGAGCTTCCTGGACGTCCAAGGATCAGGGATCAGTACCCCCAGGAGAGCCACGCGGAGGGGAGCAGGCAGGACCACCACAGGCTCACTCTGCAGACGGGCCTGGACCCCCGGGTGAGCCCCTGATGGCCATGCCTTCTCGGAGCCCAAGCCCACATATTGGCCCGTCTGCACCCTCGGGCCCTGCACACCTGCCTCGTTCTGGACACAGAACGAGGGCCACCTGGCTGAGTCCTTAACTCCCACTCTGCATCTGTGGCCTTGGATGTGGGTTCTTCTTCAAATGAATGACCAAGACCACGTGCCCTACCCCGGAAGAGGACTCCCAGGTCATGTCAGCCTTCATCAAACCTCACCCCCTCCCACCACCCATTCTGAGACGGCACCACCGGCCCCTGCCTCACCTCGGAGCCAGGCCTACGGGTGGGTTGCGGCGGAGAGGGGGGGGGGGGGATGTGCACCAGTGCAGCTGAACTGTCGATCAGGAAACGTTCCTGGAAACGCGCTAGACTGCAAGCCACCGGATGGACGTGTCTGCAGTCTCCCAGCCAGCCGCGCCTCCTCTCTGGCTCTCGCCACTGACCTCATAGCCATCTCCCAGGGCTGTTGCAACAGGCACTTGAAAACTGGGGGTTTCCAAGAGTGCAGAGTCGTCTTCCCAGAGTTCTAGGGGCCAGAAGCCCAAACTCAAGGTGTCAGCAGATCTGCTCCATCCAGAGGCCCTAGGGTGATATCCATCCTGCCTCTTAGCCTCTGCAGCCCCACACATTCCTCGGCCTGTGGCCGCATCACTCCGATCTCTGCCGCCAGCTTTACACAGCGGTCTTACCTCTGTGTCCCTTGCTGCCATCACATGGCACTCTCCACGTGTGCCTGCGTCTGTATCCAAATCTCCCGCTTCTTATAAGGACAGCAGTTGCACAGGGCTAAGGCCACCCTCATGACCTCATCTTAACTTGGTTCAATCCACAAAGACCCTCTTTCCAAATAAGGTCATATTCACAGATAACAGAGGTTAGTGCTTCAACATATCATTTTTGTGGGGACACAATTCAGCCCAGAACAAACTTGAATTATGTTTCCCTTGATCTATCTAGTTTGATGACTCTCTCAACCACTAAGTCAATCAGCAAGCATTTATTGAGCACCTATTGCATTCCAGGCCCCATGCTAAGAGGAAGGGCTCCTGGCACAAAGCCTCATGGTCCTGGGACAAGTGAGCGGCTGACTGCAGAGCAGAGACACTTGGGGTCACGGCAGCCCCTCTCCCTGTGGGGTTCCTCTCCCAGCCGTAGAGCATCCAGGGTGCTTCTCGAAGGGAAGGGGATGACAGAGCTACGATCTGCAGCAGAATAGCAGGCAGTGAGGCCCCGGGCAGAGGGGGATCCCAGAGCCCAGACATGAGAGATGCATAGAGCCTCTAGGAAAGAGGTGGGTCAGCATAGCTGAAACAGAGAGGTGGCAAGATGTGCCCGTGTGAGCCCAGAGGTCACCTGGGGCGCCCACCAGGTCGCCGTGAAGGCGAAGGCATCCCAGAGCTCCCGTGGGCCTCTGACACCAGGCGCCGCTGCTACCCACCCTCTGTGAGCAAGCTGCTATCCCGCACCAGCTCCCGTAACCCCGCAGCAACCCTGCCAGGGAGGGTTCCCGTGTCCACCGCACAGTTGAGGAAACTGAGGCCTGTCTCCCCAGGTCATGGGAGGGGCGGCAAAGACTGGACTCGGGGACTCTGCCCCAAAGCCCAGGCCACAGCCCGCATCTGCAGGCTGGAGCTTCAGAGAGAGACAGTCCTCCGGGGGGAGAGGGGAGGCAGGCTGGCGGCCACAGGCACTTGCAGAGGCCAGCTCCCTCTGGGGCACTGGCCCTGCGGCTCACCTCTTGATGAAGACCTGCCAGGGGTCGGGGGCACGACCTCAACCACACCGACCCCCCATCCAGCCCAGTGGTGAGGGCCAATTAACTCACTTTGTGCTGGGCCTTGTAAACAGTCCACTCTTGCCATTTTGACTCTCATGACTTAACATTTTTTTACAAATCCTTTTTAAAAAATGTTTATTTATTTTTGAGAAGGGGGGAGGGGCAGAGAGACAGGGAGACAGAGGATCCAAAGCAGGCTCCCGGCTCCATGCTGTCAGCACAGAGCCGAATGTGGGGCTTGAGCCCACAAACCATGAGATCACGACCTGAGACCGAACGCTTAACCAACTGAGCCACCCAGGAGCCCCAACTCAGCACTTAAAAACAAAACAAAACAAAACAAAAAGCATTCCCAATCCAGTTACCATCTAGTGATTTTTGTGTCTCTGGAGCCAACTCTCAGGTCCAATTATTTTTGCTGTTGTTTCATTGCCAGCTGGCTCTGCGGGTCGTGAGGGCCCAGCCAGCCCTGGTCAGTGGTCTCCTTCGGAACCGCACCCACAGCTGGCGGGGCCGGCCCAAGGGGGGAGCCCCCTGGTGGCCCGTGGTTCCTGCGGGGCTAGGAGACGGCCTGCGGATGGAGAAGGTTCCCAGGCTCTGCTCTGGAGAGGTGGAGAGCTCTGTCTGTGCACAATTCTCCCTGGAGTTGGCTGTTGGGCTCTCTGCCTTGATTTGATTAATGTGGATAGACTTTGGCAGCCGCATTCCTGGAAGAACCTGGATGGGTCGTGTGTGTACATAAAATAGAAGATGCGCTGTGGGTGTTTTTAGCTGAGCATGACTGATAGCTATGCTTGTTAAGATAGGAGCAATCAAACCCAGGCTGCTTGAAGCTTTTCACGGATGTGCCAAAGAATCTGTCTTATCTAAATGCGGGTCTCAGGATGATCTAAAAGAAAATCCTGTACTCCAAGTAGCAGTTGGTGAATGGCAAGGCTGGAATGCACATCCCCCCTCTTTATTTCCTTTCTAATAACTGTTGGGATAGCACCGGCTTGGTCAAAGCATGAGGATTCTTGCATATGAACGTGCTTGGGTGTGTAGGTGGGGCTGCGCACATGTCTAAACAAACACAGCCATGTATTCACCACCTTCGTCCCACGGAGGGAATTAAAGGCGGCTAACAAAGCTACACATCGTAGAATAATAAAATAAATAAATAAATGAGGAAATCAGGGCAAGCGGGCTAGAAAAGGGGGAATAAAAATAGAAGTAGGGAAGGAGAGAAGCGAGTGGCTGTAAAGACGGGAAAGATGAGGGGAGTTGGGAGGAGGTGGAGTGAGAAAGAGACGGGGAAGTGGTGAACAAAGCTTCCGTTTCCATGGTGACCAGCAGCTCCCGGGCCCTGGGGAGGAAGCTTCGAAAGATGCCTTGCCCTGAAGTCTAACCGGATGTGGAGGGCCTCCTTCCAAGTCTTCGTCCAGCCCGGCTCCGGAAGGTGGAATCTGCCCTGACCCACGCACCCCGCAACTCCCCAGCCAGCCTGCACCTGATGGCCCCGGGGTGACCACCGCACACTCCCTCCCTTGGAGCTCTGGGTTCCCCCTGACGGACGGGCAGGGCAGTCCGTGTTGGCTGGAGGC